CTTCCTTCCTTCGGCGCTACCATGGTAAAAAGGTGGAAGATTCGCGTCTTACTAGTCTTCACACCAGGATGAACCTTAAATTTTTTGAGGCTCCCCGTTGACCACCTTCCTAGCCACGGGGGCACACGTCCTGTACGGCGCCTTCCATAGGCGCTTTCCCTCGTTGTGTAGCTTAACGAGTGAGTAGATGCTCTTGGTAGTGGAGCGTGACGTAGTCGGTCACGTTCCATATCAAACAATTATAATTGTGTATACAAATCGACTTTACGAGGCTTTTTATTGAAAACGGAAGCCAATTCCCCTTTCATTGTTAATATAGGCTGACAGTTATTACATTTAGAACTATTATTACGTTAAATGTAATGTAATCGTTTTACGTGGACGAGAGTTCACACAGTGGTTAAGAATTCTAGCCCGGAGTTTCTGCTGCTTAAAGTGAGAGAGTGTGATAAAAGAACCTAGGACTAGTGGCGCCTGCGAACGTTCGAAAGTGTCACGTGTGTGGTGTAGAGCTCTAGTAACGCACATGGATAACATTATGTTTTGAAATGCAAAGTATTTAGCGCGGTAACAGTGTAATACAGTGTAACCGTGGGAGTATTAGGGAAATGAAAGCTCTCCCGGTGTAACGGTGTGCGGTAATTTAACCCACCGACATAACACCGTGTTTTGAAATTCAGAAGGTTATCTCACCGTCAAAATATTTTAGCGCGGTTACCGTCTACACCGGTAACCGTGACACCCCTATTTACGGGCTCCGGATATTCGGTAGTAATCAGCAGCAAATATTCGAGTATTCGGTGCAGAGAGATTATTATTATTTTTTTAATAAAACCTTTTTTCCAAAAGGTTTCATAACACGCTCCGAATCCGAGACACCTGACAACACGCTGTTAAGCAGAAGCGCAGAAAGAGCATACTATTACGATTTATATTAATTTATTGTCTCAGTACTCGCATACATTAAAACTAAATGTGTCCTCTAAATTTAACCCCGCCGCAGTGCAGCGCCCGGGGACCAAATCTGGTTCCAAATTCCGTCTAACGTTTTACAACCTGAATAATTGCCTTAGCCCCAGATGTTCCCACATTACATGGTAATGTAATGTGTCCCCTCGTTCCTTGGAAGAGGCGGAGAGGTGGGTGTTTTTGATCTGCTGGTGGACTACCTGAGAGATATACAGCAGGAGAACACGCCGTCCACCGTGGAGAATAAACAGAAGGGCAACCATGCTCCGGGGTCTTCTTCGCTGCTTTTGGTGTATGTTGTGGCGGCAGCAGCGCCACTTACAGGCCTGGCATATGTACTACAGCATTTCCAGCGGTCTAGTGTGAACGGACACGTTAATGAATTGTATGCGTTTTACCGTATGCGTTTTACCATATGCGTCCTTGTGGGGCCGGGGTCCAAGCCAAACTATATCCGGTCACAGAGATCTGCTATTTTAAAGTGAAGTCAACACATATCGACCCTAAATATAGTCTATATTAAGAACGAGAAAAGTCTTAACATATATATCCTTTTTTGTAAACATATGACAAATGTGTGAGGGTGATGACGTCAGAGCATCGTCCTATGTGCCAGGGTTTAGCCCCGGACAGCCCCAGCCCAATTTAACCCCTGGGTATTTGTGAGGGAGCTCCTATATGGCATTACCCCACTGAAGCTCACCAAAGTTTAATATATTTCATAGTTTAAAGTTTTGTCAATTGTTTTGTTTATTTGTCAAATACTGGTTTCTAATGGTTTCTGAGGAGTTTTACTGGAATGAAAGAGCACAGAGTACAGAAGCAACAAAGCAGCATACTGCATTAAACCTGACCTTCACAGAGAGGTTGAAGTTCATGTGGAGAGGAGGCTTCAGTAGTCTGTCTGCACTCTGTTTAGTTGTGCTATCTTACAATCAATAAAGTAAATGTGAGGTAAAGTGTGTTGCCAATGTAACCGGTTAGAACTCAAAGTTGCGATGAGGTCTTAAAATGTATGGAAAGGGTCTTAAAAAAGGTCTTAAAAGGTATTACATTTGACTTCAGGATTCCTGCATATAGCCTACCCTGTGTAAGCTGATATCAGAATATGTCCATTTAAAAAGAATTCTGAATTTAAGTTTAGGATTTGGCCATTTTATCAATATGTAATGTTAGGCTAGTAATTCTGAATCAGGAACGTAACTAGCAAATTAAGTCACATTATTAATTGAAGTAGCAGAAAAATGAAAATATTGAAGTACTTCAACGTTTCATCTACAGTAAGTACCGTTTTTTTTTACACTGTCAGATCAGCTTTTTAGCAAAGAGATAACATGAACTGAATAATGACAAAACCTCCACAGGAGCCCGTAGATGCTTAAACACAAACGTCACGCAGTTTTCTGTGTGAACCAAAGGAGTGCAGCCTGACACACGTTGCTGGTTTTATAATCTCGTCCCGGCAGCTCTGTTATTTGCCAGGGACTAAAAAGAGGTCGTGGCCTCAAAGGTAAGCTCTTTACGGGCCGGGACATCGTGACCTCACACTCACCTTTTACCTGGCTGCTCCCTGACGATAGCTGCTCAGTCTGCAGCAGAGACACAAAACTCACAGATCCTATTAGTATTTAGACAAAAACCTGCAGTATTTCAATACTGTTCTCTTATCAGTTGTACGGATGCATTTTTTCAATTTTTTTTATTAGAATTTGAATTCATTTAATTCCGTGAACATTAAAATCGTAATAATTAAGACGCTGGTTTTTGTTTAATTATTCTGGACGAAAACCAAAGTGGTAAAACAACAAGATTGCATACAGAAGGCAGCAGTATTCCTTGTGATAAACACATTTTGTAGAGGCCAGTTCGAGTTTTCATGTCGGTTCCTCTGCCTTACTACTGCTGAATGTACGTTTTCAGCGTGCACTCTGATACAATACTGAAACCCTCGGTTCAGTTTCGCTGCTTTTGAAGTGTTTTCAGAGTCTCTAGATGTTAAATTACACGATGAATTCAGTGAGTACAGGGCAGCAAGGGCTGGGTGCCGTGTGGTTAGAGACCAGGGAGCTATTAATAACCAGAACTGGAGTGGCCCCAGCTTTTTAAAGTTACATATTACAAACAATCCTACTCCAACCTCACTAATCAGAGGAGAGGAGCAGCTATACGAGGGCCACCTACTGTACCAGGTTTACACATTTTCCTCTTTAGTAGCCTATATATTTATTCACCAATAAGGTGTTTTTATTGTATTTTGTATATATATGTTTAGGGTGTAATAGGACTGGCTAGCTGTCTGAGGCTAGTGTTTGTTTTTAATTTCATTGAAAGTTTATTATTTAAAGATACTAAGTACATTTGTTGGAAAGGTTTTCTCAATATAACGACTTACAATATTCTTTCATTAAAAATAAAGTTTTTTGCTGATTTTGAATTCCCAAACTTTGGGTTTTTATATTTGAAAATCCTTTTCTTGGACGCTTGAACTAAATTTTACTTTGCAGCATTTCAAACTCTGAAAAAAATAAGCAAAAACGTATCACATTTGTTTCCAAACTGACACCTCTTGTCTCTTTTCTCCTCCATTTATTTTGTATTCCTCTCCATTCCCTTCCTCATTAGCTCTCCATCCTTCTAGAAACTGATCCTACTGTAAGTGACGGCACCTCCTCTCCCCCTCCCTCCCTCCCTCTCACAACAATCCCTCCCTCCTTCACTTACTCTCTCCCTCCATCCCTCTTCATTCACACTTCTTCCCCTCTCTGTCTTTACCTCCATCGGTCCCCTCTCTGTCTCTGCTGTTGTAGGAAGGATGCTCTCCTGCAGACTCCTGCTTCTGCTGGGTCTCCTCCTGCTCTCCAAAGGTAAGGAAAGCACCAACAATGCTGCTTATTCATTAAAGAAAATGTGAACTTCTTAAAAAACAGTGAAAGCTGAAGTAAAGTATGAGTGGCTGCAGACAGCTTAAGGAACAGATAAGTATCCCTTTCCTGCTGCTCTTTGTTTAGGTTGAAGCGTGCTGTTTCTGTCTGGTGGTTTCAAAGTAAATATACACCGGGTCGCACTCACACACACACCGTCTCTCAGCCAGCTATTCATAGGTTACTAATGAGTGTGTTTGGGGCTGGATTTGGGCCACCCTCTCGCTCAGGATGGGGCGGGTTGGGTAGGGGATGAGGTGTTTTTTTATAGCAGCATGATCCTATTGAGGGCAGTGATGAGCTCTGTGTGTGAGCGGGAAACGCAGCGGGGAAAATACCATTAACTGTGATGCTAAATGCTACCTATAGGGTGTGTTTGAAACTACTAGGGCTGTGCTGAATGCTTTAGTTGTTTTTTTACATTTGAAGCTTCTAATTAGGTTGTTTTTTAATACGTCTTTGAATGTTCGTCACATAAGGGCTTGGCTTCTTAAGAGTACATCAAATGTATTTCTAATCAATACCTCAATATCAATAATATTCCAGTTTTTGCTGATATGATATTACACTAGATTATGATCAGAAGTCTTTTTTTTTTACTGGGGGAAATTAGTTTTGTTACATTTTAGAGTGAAACTAAATAAAATATATATAAACATTTGAATAATAATAATTTAATAAACATGATAAGTTAAAGTAAGAATATGCAATACAAATATAAAATAAAATAGAATTAAGCCAAAGTAAAAATCTCTGGATCATCATTAATGTCTGACCTGCTGTGTGTCCAGGTCAGGAGGAGAGTGGGGGGGGCGAGTCCTGCGATAACTTCACAGACCTGAACCTGTCGCACTGCTTCATGGGAACCGTCCTGTACGTGCGCCTGCTGCTCTACACCCGCTCCAACCTGGACTGCGGCCGCGAGCTAGACCACCACCACCCCTCCTCCCAGCCGCTCTTCAACGTGTCCCGCCCCACCGCCTTCGTCATCCATGGCTACAGGCCCACCGGAGCCCCCCCCATCTGGATCGACCACCTGGTGCAACTGCTGGCGGAGCAGGAGGACATGAACGTCATCGTGGTGGACTGGAACAAAGGAGCGGCAAACCTCAACTACTTCACCGCCGTCACATACACCCGGGACGCAGCGCACAACCTGACAGGATTCATCAAAACCATGCAGGTGAGACGACCTGTGTGGGGAGGATGCCAGCAGCTCTTTTAGCCTCTTTTTTGAAACTTTACTATTTATCTCAGTCCTAATGTTTCCAGACAGCTGTGAAAAGTGAACACTTTAATAAATGTTGTGTCTGCAGGAGGAAGGAGCGTCTCTGAGCTCTGTCCACCTGCTCGGCGTCAGCCTGGGAGCTCACCTGGCCGGATTCGTAGGAGCAAACCTACATGGGAAGATCGGACGAATCACAGGTGAGTTAAATATAATTAAATCAATATGTGACTTGCCAACAGAGAAGCAGCAGAGCAGTATTCCGTTACACGAGTGCCAAGAGATCTTTCTGTCCCCCTTCCCCTCCAGGTCTGGATCCGGCCGGTCCAATGTTCACCAGCGCCATACCAGAGGAGAGACTGGACCCGACAGATGCCATGTTTGTGGACGTGCTTCACACCGACATGGATTGTAAGATTCTGAATTATATTTACTGACTATAACTAAACACATAGGATTGTCTCCGGGACATTAGTGCTTTAGAGAAACCTGGTACTTCACAGGTAAGTACTTGACATGTGCTTGGTAGTTTGGAAAGCAAACCTGTTAGTTTACAGTATATTTAAAGGTCCCATGTCATGGCCATTTCTACTGATCATAATTCCATTGTTGAGGTCTACTAAAATAGATTTATATTATGCAATTTTCCAAACTAACATTGGTTTCTCATACAGCATCTCTGTATAGTATGTGTATTCACTCTCTGTCCTAAACGGCTTGTTGGTGCTCCTGCCCCCCCTCCCTGTGAGCCTAGTGGCCGTCTGCCAGACAGCGAAACCCAGCCTTGGCACACACACCCGCAGCCTGGCTGGGAGTTTGTGTGTGTGCCCAGGCTGAGTTCCGCGGTGTCTCGCNTTGTTCAAATATAGCATGATAGGTCCACTTTAAGTGATTTTAAAGTAGCCTGCGTTCAATTTCAATTACTTTTACTGAAATATAAAAGTCAACGATTCATGATGTATTATTGCTACCCAACAGTATTAAGGGTATTTCATTTAGGATGAACATTTAAAGGTCCCATGACATGCTTTTTTCCGGTTATTACCCGTCCCCTTGTGTGTTATGAAGGTTTTTATGCATGTAAACGGTCTGCAGAGTCACAAACCCTCAAAGTACACCCTGTAGCGAGTAAAACTCTAACACAGAAAATACCTGTTTATGCTGCCCCAGAACGCCTCGTTGGAGGTTTCTCTTTTTCTTCCTTGGTACAGTGACGTGCCCATACTCAAATGGACCCATTGGTCCAAATAGACCAATCCGTTGAGGCATTACGTTACGTCCGCGGAGCAGTTACGTTGAATACACATACTATACAGAGATGCTATATGAGAAACCAATGTGATTTTGGAAAATTGCACAATATAAATATATTTTAGTATACCTCAACAATGGAATTATGATCAGTAGAAATGGCCATGACATGGGACCTTTAATACCTGCTACATTCAATTGGTGAACACATGAATGCATCAATTTTCATAATCCCATTACTTTTTATGTTTTCATCTAAAATAAGGCATTCTGCATGATTAATTATATTTTTGATACTCTTATTTGACTATATATTGTGTTGCATTTCTAACGTGTGTATTCATATTTTTCCTGAAGTAATCAGAGTATTTCGTCCACTGCTGCAAGTACAGAAGATGCTTCTTACTTCATCAATCGCGCATGCGCAGTGTCTCCCTCTCCTCTCCTGCCTCTCCTATGACTGACCGCTAGTGACCTCGGTTTCTGCAGCAGCACACAACTTGAGACAGCACACACACATTGCAAACACCAAAAACAATAATACACTCGAAGGGGAGATGGCTGGTATTTTCGTGAAGATCTTCGTGGGCATTTACGTGGAGATAAAACGGAGCGACGGTACGTGGCATGCACACAGACACCGCTCTCCATCCGGAGGAGAGGAGCTAACGTTAACGAACACCGCAGCGGGGTGTTTTCTGCTAAGCTAGCCAGCCGCTACATCTTTTCATAGGGATGTCTTGTTAAAAAACACGATGAATGATGCGTTAAGACGAGCAGAAATGTTGTTTTTATATCATGCTGCTGTCGACTGTCAGTCAGACAGACACTCGCCGGCCGGCCCGAGCTGCAGGCGGGCGGGTCCGTCCACCTGTGCGGCTGAACGCTCAAATAAAACAGACACCTGCCCTGTCTTCCTCTGGTTCATCTGCCCTCTCTGCATAATGGCTACAGTCCCTCCAGGGTGCATGCTAACTGCACTGCATCATCCAGCAGTGGCCTGAGAATCCTGGGCTCAAGGATGGCTTCATTCATGGGGCCTCTCCCCCATCTGACTGCCACTAAAATAGCTCTAAAACAGCCTTATGGAGATTTATTTTACCATTCAAATGAGTGGAAAAGGCTGGCAAGAATCTAAATAACAGCCAGTAAGTGAATGCTGCTCTTGAAGTTGTGAATGACAGGGCTACAGTCTTTATCATCATCCATCATGAGCCACACCCATTAGCATCTCAGACCAGTCTCCTTATTTCAGTGTCAAGTTATGACTGCAGGAAACCAAAATGCTGTATTTTATATTTTCTTCCTGCAGGAAATGATCCAATACTAATATTCTCAGTTAGAGATGTATTCTGTTCATGGCTCATTGGTTATGTTAATGTTTGTCTCCTGTGATTTAAAGGCTAAAAGCAGCTGTACATCCTATACTCTACAGTCCCATGCAGCACTGAGCAGGCATCACATCTCTTTTTCTCTCTGCAGGACGAATACACCAGGCGATGGTCACATCACTGCATGAGGACAATGACAGTGTGACAGTGGAGTGGATCGAGAATGGAGACACCAAAGGGAAAGAGGTATAGCTGCCACTTTCCAGCCACTAACTTCCTGTATGAACTCTGAATGTCCCATTAACACCACCAAATGTCTCTCTGTCCTCTAAGTTGGTCTGGAAGATAAGTAGTGGCACCACACCAAGTAATTAACTAGCTCTCCATTTAAAACATATGCATACGGTTTATAATAATATACATTCCTGTTCCAAAGTTTGTGATTTCCTGCCACAAAAGCTTAATTAGGTACAGTTAGCTTTGTTATCTTTGTCCTGTTTCTGCCTCAGATTGATCTGGAGAGCGTCTTTGCTCTGAATCCAGATGTTGTTCCTGATGAGGAGATACCACAGAGTCCTGAGGTTCCTCTTCCTCCTTCCAACGTTGCCAAAACCAGCAAACTCCCCAAGGTCTGTTCCCATCAATATCAGTCAATCAACTTTATATTTTTGACCCCACTAATTTGAGCAAAATGCTATGTTACATTTCCTAATGACCTAAGTATGTAATTCTCAATGAAAGGGAAAGATACCCATTATATATTCATTAAGGTGAATGTCCATTTAATCTTGCAGTCTCCATATCAGTCTACTTTCAATGCTGTATTGGTTTATTTCTTTTCAGACCAAACGGATTACAGCAATACCTAAAGCTGAGAATCCTCCACGGGAGAATAGAGGTATGTTTGATTAAATTCGGAGGGTTTCAGTGACTGTATTTTACTTTAAAACCCTTGTTGCAAGATTGACACAACGTGAATTATAACTCAGCCAAATGAATACGGGCGCAGACATTTTTAGATTCAGTGACATACACTTCAAGATGTCATTAGAAATCAAATAAAAAACTGCCCTGATAATAACACAATTATCCAGGGATAGTTTTCTGTACATCTTGTTTACTTTAGCATGAGTCGCTAATAGCTCATTTGCATACTTTTAATGGTTCTTATCTTTAAAAGTGTATACAAATACAAGCTTAAAAATAAGTGGGGATCCACTTGTACCCCACAGCTCAGCGACTGACTCCATACCAACATAATCATTTATGTATTCAATCCGCCAAGCCCTCACATTATGGAAACTGAAGTTTAAAAAAACGAAATAATACTATCTAATTTCAGAAACTAGAACAAATAAATATTTAGCCATTTCTCTCTTTATTAATCCCAAACTATCTGCATGAAAAGATACCAGTGGATTTAGGTTGAAAAATACATTTGTCTATTTTATTATTTTTGTAAAACTGTGGGATTATCTTTGTGCTCCTCAGCTGCAGCAGTGGGAACCACCCGGGCCCGTCCCAGCCAGCACAGCCAACCTGCAGAGCCCCCCCCCCCAGCCATCGCTCCCCAGTCTGCACTCAGCCAGACCCTGCTACAGCAGCAGAACGGTAACACAGTCTCTATCAGCATCCTACATGCCAGAGGTTATTCTAGTCCACATGCCTTAGTTGTATGATCTAAGATGCACTTTATGTTAGTTTCCTGACCCATTGAGTGTTGTTGTTCTTTTCTATTGGAGTTTTTTTTTGTGAAGGGATTACGTTGCAGAGGCCACAAATGGTGATGTAATGCTCCCACACAGCTGTGGTCCGCGAGAGCGTCAAAGGCTCTTTCACAGTCTCTCACATGCTTGGCTTCAGGCTGAGACTCATACTACAGCACTTGTTGTGGTTTTCAGCTGTGGCTGTCGGAATTTGAATAAACGTTTGCTACTATTGCGTTAAAGTACAATAATTCTTTAATTCAACGCGTAGAGCATGACTTCTGAAAGCAGCAGAATAACTTATTATGATATTTGTACTACCCAACAAACGGGAGGAATTAATGGTCTGGGGCTGAAAGTCTATAAGAAAAATACAGTATAGTTATTTTGATTATCTCCTTTCTTTCTAGCACGGAAAAAATCCAACTGTGTGAAAGAAGTAGAAAAACTGCAGGAGAAACGAGAGAAGAGGCGAATTCAGCAACAAGAGCTCAGAGAGAAGAGGGCACAAGTGAGGAGCACACACACGCAGTACACACACATACAGTATATACACACACAACATACAGAGCATCTGAGGTTAAAGGTCCCATGTCATGGCCATTTCTACTGATCATAATTCCATTGTTGAGGTCTACTAGAATAGATTTAACTTGTGCAATTTTCCAAACTCACATTGGTTTCTCATACAGCATCTCTGTATAGTATGTGTGTATTCACTCTCTGTCCTAAACGGCTTGTTGGAGCTCCTGCCCCCCCCTCCCTGTGAGCCCACTGTGCTCTGATTGGTCAGCTCGCCCACTCTGTTCTGATGAGTCCACCACGTTACAGCGGAACATCAGTTCAGTGTTACCATGGCG